CGCGGCGCGGGACGGTGGGCGGGGGCCGGGCCGGGCAGGGGTCCCGAAACGGGCGGCCCGTGGGTGGGCGCGGGGCGGCCTCCAGCGGCGGCCCTCGCGTGCGGCGGCATGCAGGGGGTGTGCGCGGAGACTGCGGCGCGCGTGTCCGCGGTCCGCGTGTCCCTGCGGCTCCGGCCCAGGCATCCGCGTGTGTCCGGGCGCGGCCGCGGCGCCGACGCGGAGAGACCGCACCCCCGTGCGGCGGGGCTGGGACAGCGGCCCGGGGCCCAGCGCCGCGGCCTTCCCCGCCCCCCGGCCGGGCCCGCCGAGCCCCGCGGCAGCTCCGGGGCGGCGGGGGCGGGCGCTGCCCCTCCACGGAGGTTGGGGAGAAAGTTTGCGGCGGCCCCGCGGGGAGGCCCCTTCGGTACCCAGGCCGGGCCGGGCCGCTGGACCTCGGCTCGGACCGCCGGCCGCGGGCGAGGGCGGGATGGCCAGGCCCAGGCAGTGATCAGAGCCACCCGGCAAGGCCGCGGGGGCTGAAGGAGGTCGTGCAGGCTAAGCCCCCGGCCGGCCCTGGGGCGTGGGGTGGAAGTTGGAGCGGCTTCCCAGGACCTCAGCCGCCGCCGCCGCCGCCCCCTCTGGCCCAGGGTGTGGGGAGGTGAGCGCTGGTTGCCGCCCGGGAGGCCGCCCCGCTTGGGCCTCCTCGGCCTCCCCCTCTCGGGGCCTCTCCAGGGTCAGCCGCTTCCCCCGGAGGCTTCCGATTGCTTCTTGGACAGTCCCGGGCCTGGTGTGCGGCGAAGCTGGAGGCAGCGGGGCCGATCCTGGGCTGCCAGAGGAAGGGGGAGCGGGGACTCCAGGGAGGCCCCTCTGCCAGCATGAGATCCCAGGTGCAGCCCTGGAAAGGAGGGGAGGGGCTCCAAGTGGCCGCCCGGACTGCAAGCTGCCCCGGCTCCTGTGTGGGGTGCTGGGGCCACGCCCCTTGAAAGAAAGGGGTGTGTGTGCGGGGGATGGGACGTGGTCGAGCCTCTGTCCCCTCAGCCTGGCTCCTGTGGCTCAGGCTGCTCCGTGTTGCCCCACCTCCTTTCACACGTAGCCGGTTTTGGGGTCGGTGCGGGGATGGGGTGCACTGTCTGCTCCCCGGGCCCTTGAGGAGCTCGCCTCAGGTCCTCTCAGCTCCCTGCAGTTTGGGGCTTGCGGCAGAGGCCAGGTGCCGCACCAGGGGCACCGAGATGCTGCCCAGCCCTTGAGGAGCACCCAGCCTCTTGCCAGAGGCAGGCTTGTGAACCAGTGATTCGCTGCAGGGCCAGGCTTCCATTCCTGGGGGGGGGGCCGGTGGGGCCCAGGAAGGGCGTTTTGGGCAGAGGGGACAGCATGGGCAGAGGGGACAGCATGGGCAGAGGGTACAGCATGGGCGGAGGCCTGGGTTTGTGGCCTCCGTGTGTGCTCTGGGGGTGGAAGACACATGAGGTGCCTGTGGACAAAGCAGATAGCCCTTTGCTGGACTCCTGGCCCCCCAAGGTCATTGCCTGTGTGTTTTGAGCCCCCAGGAAGACCCCTGTGCACAGAGCAGCTTAGAGCAGCTGGCCTGGAGGAGAGGGTACCCCAGGGGAAGGCCCGCAAAGGTGGGCACTTTTTCTGAGGAGCAGGACTCCAACACCTTCAGATCCAGATCCCCTAGGACCAGTGGGGAGCAGGGCCACTGGGGCCACCTCCCATGACCCCCATATGGGGGAGGCGGGGTGCCAGAAGCAGCTCCCTTCCCTGGGCTGCTGTTGTGAGCCACTGTGCAGGATGGCAACCCCACACCCCAACCTGCCTGAGCCATAGAAGGATCCAGCACAAGAGAACTTGGGGCGATTGGACTCTTCGTTGTGGGGAGGGCTTTGGGGGCCTTTGTTTCTCAGGGTGAGAAGGAGCTGTAGTATTACCCAGGCCAGGAAAGGGAAGGGAAGGAGACACTGCTGGCTTGGCATTCCACCAGGCGGCGATCCCCTCCTGTCCAGGAGTGGAGCCCCTGGGCTGGGGTTCCTGCCCGCCCGCCTGCCGGCTGGTGGGCCTCTCCCCCTCTCTCTCTCCCTGCTAGCCCTGTCGGCATCCCAACGCCAGTCCATCCTCCCCCGCTCTGGCTCTGCCTCAGCCCAAACAGCTCTGGCCATGCCAAAAAGCCACAACCGTTCTTACTGCCCTCTGCACACAGCCAGCGGTTCCCACCCCAGGCCTTTGCTCCTCCTATTCTGCCCCCCACCCCCACCACGAATGCCTACCCTCCTGCACCAGCTCTTAGGCTGCCTGGTCCTCCCAGAGCAGGTGGAAAGGCCCCTGAGGCCTTTCCCAGCCACAGTGGCCGGCTCTGCTCCTCAGTAGAGCACAGCATCTGCTGGTTCTCCCCTCCCAGCCCTGGCCCAGCCCCCTGGCACCCAGGCCCAGCTTTGGAATGAATGCATTTTTCCCTGGGCAGACCCAGGCCTATGAGAGTGGAGCCCTGAGGGCTGACTGGCTGGCCCAGTCTTTGGAAGCTGTGGATTTGGGCCCTGCCCTGGTGGGACTAGCTGGGTGACCTTGAGTCTGAGCCTCGAGTCTTGTGCCCGTAAGGTGGAAGAAGTGGGGCCAACCATTCTCACTGGCCTTTGTTAGATGCTGGGCATGAGGGACCCAGCCGTAGGCTTGGGGCTCCCGGTTTCTTGCCCAGCAACCCTGTGCCCCTGGGCCAGTACCTTCCCAGCAGCCTCTTTGGGGAAGTGGGGCTGAGGGTGGGGTTTGGGGTGGAGGGCCCAGGGCCAGGCTGGAGTTCAGATGGTGGCTTCTTAGCCTTGTCCCTCCTGTTGAATATAAAAAGTAGGGCCCGTAATTGCATTAAGACGTGTATAATTATCCCAGAGGAGGGGAGAGCCCAGCCCCTGGTAATTGCAGGCCTGCTTTGAACTGATAAACGGTGAATGATTCATGTTTTCTTTGGAGTTCACGTGTGCTCAGCTCCCAGTCCCGGCCCCACTGCTACTGCGAGGAGCCTGTTCTCTTGCCCCCAGGTCTGCCTTGAGCTCTGTGGTGGGGGCAGGAGCAGAGACTCCTCCCCTGCTGTTCTTGGGGCACTGTCCGGCCAAGGCAGCTGGCAACCTGCTGGGAGCATGCTGCAGTTCCTGCTCTGGGATTCTAGCCAAAGCTCTTTGCTTCTGAGAGCCTCAGTTTTCCCACCTGAGCAGTGGGTATGCGCTGTACACACCCTGGGCAGGGGGTATGTGGGGAGTGAAGCCAGAGTGAGGAAGCATGGGGGCTGCCATGCCCAGGCCTGGCTGGCCCTCTGCATACCCTTCATTCATTTGCTCACTCACGGGGATTTACTGACTTCCTGGGTGCCTAGCTTGGCTTGGGGATGCATTGGCAACCACCCAGAGTCAGGCCCTACTCTCAAAGGGCAGGCATTCTGGCCAGGAGAGTGGGAGCAGTAAGTAACAGAGACCCTTCCCAAGTCCTGTGCTACAGATGAAACCACGGTGACTGACCAGGGCAGGGAGTGGAGACAGTGGGCCCAGAGGCCTGGAGGAGAGGCAGGCAGCCCTGCGCTCTGCCTGTGGACACCAGGCACAGGGGCTGATGGGACTGTGGCCAGCTCCCTGGTAGACTTGGAGAAGGCATTCATCTTCAGGCCTCAGCTTCCCCATCTGTAAAATGGGGCCAGACCATACAAGGGGTGTCTGGAAGTAGAGGGACAGTGTGTGCAACCGGTTGGCCCAGGCCAGCGCTCAGGACTCAGGACTCAGCCTTGCTGTGACCAGCTCCAGCCAGGAGTGGGTGAGAGGCCCCAGCATATCAGGCACATCTGGGGCAGCAGGCCTTAATGACACCAAGGGAGTGGCGCTGCTGACTATGCCTTGTGGGCAGGTATGCCCTTTCCTCTTTCATCCATGAGAGAAGAGCTTTCATCTCCCTTTTGCAAATGGGAAAACTGAGGCTACGAAAGGGGACTGTCCCTATCAGGGCTACCTGGCTGCAGAGTAATAGGGCCTAGATTTAGCCCAGCCCCTGGCTACTAGTTGCTGGGCAGGAGGTGGTGAGACCTTTCCAGAGGCAGCGGAGGCCATGGCAGGTATGGGGACTTCTGCCAGGATTGGGACAGTGCTGACTTCATGTGCAGGTCAGAAGAGTGGCCCTAGCCTCTGCGTAGGGGCCTGGCTGTAGGTGGTTGTTGGTGGAGGGAGCTGAGTGCCCTGGCAATCCAGGAAGGAGGGATGGGCCTTTTGGGGAGTTTTGGGGTTGTCAGTGGACCTTGGTAGTGAGTGTGACCAGGAAGTGAGGGCCAATGTAGAGCAGAGTGGGAGGGGCCACACAGGTCTGGGTGGGGGTGGGGAGCTGAGGCTGGATAACTAGAGGGGTGTAGTACAGGGAGCACCTGCCCACCTTCCCTGTGGAGGAATTCCTCTTTCCTGGAGTTGGGTGTGAGGCTGGGAGCGGGAGTGATGGCTTGGTGGGAGTGCTGAGAGTCAGGGCTGGGTGGGCCAAGTAGCCTGGGAGGGGGCCGTTCTGCAGGGCACCTGTTGGCTAGTGTGGGGATGTGGGTGGGACACACTGCTTGGCTTCTAAACTACAGGTCTCAAGGTCCAGCATGGGGCTTGGGGTCCCGCAGAGAGCAGCCCAGGCTGCCACCTGCCCACTGTGAGAACTGCTGCCTGCATGGCCTGGGCCTCCGTGTCCTCAGCGGTGCCTGTGCTGTGGACTGTCAGGGCGTGTGCAGGGGAGAGCAGGGCTCTGGAGGTGGGAGTAAGCACTAAAGCCCATCTGTGTCAAGCTTCTCTAGGGGATGGTGGTGGAGTATGTCCCTACCAGCCTTGGGCAGGGAACTGGTGCCCACCCTGGAAGTATGGAGCTGTGGGGAGGGTCCTGCCCCCCAGGGCATAGGGAGGCTCTGGGTGAGAGATGCTCTCTAGGTCCCATTTTACAGATGGTGTGTCCGCTGGGGTCCCAGTTTAGACCTCAGGCCCTTGTCACCCACCTCCCACCTCCCTGTTCCTGGCTTCTGCCATTGATGGCAGGGCACAGGTGCCAATGGGGTGTCCTCACGCCAGATATCCTGGGGACACCTGGTGTACTCCACAGCTCACATGGCCTCAGGCTGGGGAGGTGCCCCAGTTCACCCCTGGCTCCTCCTGGTGGGTCAGGTCCTGCCTTCTGGACATAGAGTTGACACGCTTAGCACAGGAAGGGCTCACACTAGATCATGGGATGGGATGTGCACGCCTACACGTATGTTCGGGTGTGTGCTTGCCAGTGGGGGGCTGTGCCTGCATTCATATGCCCTTCCCTGCCCCTTCCCCAGGGCTGAAGCTCCCAGCGCCATGAAGCTTGCCCCAGCAGGACCGGAGCACCGAGGCCCGAGGTCCCAGCCTGCCATGCTGCTGCCACCACGGAGCCTGCAGGTGCTCCTGCTGCTGCTGCTACTGCTGGCGGGCATGTGGGCTGAGGCAGGCTCGCCCAGGGTGGGCAGGGGTCTGCAGCCCCCCTTCCGCACCTTCTCAGCCAGCGACTGGGGCCTCACCCACCTAGTGGTGCACGAGCAGACAGGCGAGGTGTACGTGGGTGCGGTGAACCGTATCTATAAGCTGTCGGGGAACCTAACGCTGCTGCGAGCCCACGTCACGGGCCCCGTGGAGGACAACGAGAAGTGCTACCCGCCGCCCAGCGTGCAGTCCTGCCCCCACGGCCTGGGCAGCACGGACAACGTCAACAAGCTGTTGCTGCTGGACTATGCCGCTAACCGCCTGCTGGCCTGTGGCAGCGCCTCCCAGGGCATCTGCCAGTTCCTGCGGCTGGATGACCTCTTCAAGCTGGGCGAGCCACACCACCGCAAGGAGCACTACCTGTCCAGTGTGCGGGAGGCAGGCAGCATGGCGGGCGTGCTCATTGCCGGGCCACCAGGCCAGGGCCAGGCCAAGCTCTTTGTGGGCACGCCCATTGATGGCAAGTCCGAGTACTTCCCTACACTGTCCAGCCGCCGGCTCATGGCCAACGAGGAGGACGCTGACATGTTCGGCTTCGTGTACCAGGATGAGTTTGTGTCATCGCAGCTCAAGATCCCGTCGGACACGCTGTCCAAATTCCCAGCTTTTGACATCTACTACGTGTACAGTTTCCGCAGCGAGCAGTTTGTCTACTACCTCACGCTGCAGCTGGACACGCAGCTGACCTCGCCCGACGCTGCCGGCGAGCACTTCTTCACCTCCAAGATCGTGCGGCTCTGTGTGGACGACCCCAAGTTCTACTCGTACGTGGAGTTCCCCATAGGCTGCGAGCAGGCGGGCGTGGAGTACCGCCTGGTGCAGGACGCCTTCCTGAGTCGGCCAGGCCGTGCCCTGGCCCGCCAGCTGGGCCTGGCCGAGGACGAGGATGTGCTGTTCACTGTGTTCGCCCAGGGCCAAAAGAACCGCGTGAAGCCGCCCAAGGAGTCCGCGCTGTGCCTGTTCACGCTCAGGGCCATCAAGGAGAAGATCAAGGAGCGCATCCAGTCGTGCTACCGCGGTGAGGGCAAGCTCTCCCTGCCGTGGCTGCTCAACAAGGAGCTGGGCTGCATCAACTCGGTGAGTGCGGCAGGGGCGCCCCTCCTCCCAGGCCCCGTCCCCCGTCCCTGCCCCTCCACCCCCAGCCGGGACAATAGCATCAGTATCATACACACTCCCAGCGGTACCTGCTGCGTGCCAGGCCTGGCTTTTGGCTTGGCCACCCCCAGGGCCCAGCTAGGTGGGGCTGCCCTTTTCCATCCCCCAGAGAGTGGGTTTGGACCCAGGGTGGTAGCCCCAAAGGCTGTTCCCAGCCATGATGGTGTCTGGTGCCTCAGAAGATAGGGTGATGAGGCCCTGCTAGCATAGTCCACAGCCCCTGTGGGACACCGGACAGAGTGTCGGCCATGTACCTGGTCCCACGATGGATGCTTCCTGCTCCATCTTGTCCCCATCCTACAGATGAGGTTACAGGATCAGAGAGATGGGGGAGGTAACTTGCCCTAGTTCACACAACCAGTGAGAGGCAGAGCTGGGGCCAGACCCTATCAATCAGGTGAGCCCAGACACCATCTCCATGGAGCGCCTGTGTCCCCCACATGCCCCTGGTGGCACCTGTCCGCTGGGCCTCTGCCTTTGCCCAGCAATGGGAGATGACAGTGCCCTGGTGCAGGCCGCAGTCCATGCCTTGCAGAGAAAGTGACCCTGACTCCAAGGAGCCATGGCCCCCAGCACCCATCCCAAGGCACAGCTCAGGCTGGGCCTCTATCCTGCTGCCTTTCAGGCAGCGTCTTGTTCACACTCCTGGGCAGCCTCAGAGGCCTTGCTCAGATTGGAAAGTGAAGGGACTGAGACTCAGTCCAGACCTGGAACCCCTGAGGCCAGGCCTTCTGTGCTTGCTGCTGGGTGTCGCTGGCCAGCCCAGGGGAAGACCTGCCCCTCTCTGGCGGCAGCCTCCCATCTCTGACCTGGAGGTGATCCTGGTTTTGTCCCCCGGGCAGAGTGGGACCGCAAGGGCCCCTCAGCCCTTCCATCTCACACTCACTGCCTGTGTGAGGTGGGGCTCATGTGTGCTTGGCAGATGTGGTTGTCCACCTTCACCTTGGCTTTTCAAGGCACATGTTTTCTCTGTACCATGCAGATGGAGACACTGAGGCTTGGAGGGGCAGAGCCTGGGTGAAGCCCCACCACACTCTCTCTTTGTGCTCTGCCCCAAAGCTGGGACCAGCTCTTTTCCTCCCTGGGGACAGTCCCCACTGTCCTCTCTCACCTGTTCATTCTGTGTGGCCCAGCCCTGGCCCAGCCCCCCCGCTCCTTCCTCCTGGCCCCCCAACAAACCAGCTGCAGACAGGGACCATCTGCCCCACTTCTTCCCATACCCCTTCCCCGCCTGCCCTGCCCTCTCCTTGGGCCTGGTGGTGGAGCAGTACCCCTCTACGCTGCCCCAGCTGCTCCCGAACCTCATGCTATTGATTGCTTTCTCGGGCTCTTAGCTGGGAGCCGGCCCTTTGCCTTTCACATGTGACCTGCTCCCTCTTGTCTTAAATAAACCCTCTCTGTCTACACATTTTTTCTGGGGGCTACCCTCAACCTCTCTAGAAAGGCAGCCAGACTCCCGGCCCTGCCCAGGGAGGCCCAGTCCTCCGGGAGAAGGCGCCCAGGGAGTGGCTCTCACCCTGCCCCTCCCACAGCCCCTGCAGATCGACGACGACTTCTGTGGCCAGGACTTCAACCAGCCCCTGGGGGGCACAGTCACCATTGAGGGGATGCCACTGTTTGTGGACAAGGACGATGGCCTGACTGCCGTGGCTGCCTATGACTACCGGGGCCGCACTGTGGTATTCGCCGGCACACGAAGTGGCCGCATCCGCAAGGTCAGGCCTGGGTGGGCTGGGCGAGGAGGGGGGCTTGGGAGGCAGTTCCTGCCTGGGGAAGGAGCAAAGGCTTGAGGCCCTCCAAGGTGGTGGCAGGGACAGTGCTGCTCTGTGCTGTGGGAGGCTAGATCTGGCATATAGGGGGCAGGAGGAGTGTGTCCTACACTGGGCCCAGTGACCTTGAAGGGCCCCACTCCTCTCTGTGCCTCTGACCATTACTGGCCCCAGGACCACTAAGCAAGGATACTTTGAGACCATGCAGGAGCCTGTGCAGGGCCCAGGGATGCTGAGGCGGGGGCCGGCTCTCCAAGGGCACTCGCTGACCTCCCAGGGAGGCTGCTGTGTGTGGATGGTGAGGGCAGACCTGCATGGCCCCCTCCCCTCTGGGCCCTGCTCCCAAGCTGGGAGATCCAGTGTCTGCTGCCTCAGCATTCTGCCGGGCTGGAGGCCGTGGCCCTGCCTCCTGCAAGCCCCTCTGCTGGGCCAAGGGCAGGGCAAGGGTAGTGCCCCTGCCCGTCTTTGGCTGGTGCTAGAGGAGCTCTGGGCTGCAGCCCTGAGCTGGCCCCACGGTGGCAGGGTGAGGGCAGGGTGCTGCAGGAATGGCCGTCTGGTCTTTAAGGTTCTCCATTCCTTCCCCAGAATGGTGGACTGGACAAAGGCAATGAAGAGCTTCCTGGAGGGCGTTGGCGGAGGGGAGCTGCCTGGGCTGGGGTGGGCACCAGGCTGGTTGGTGTGGAGGAAGCTCCCAGAAAGACTGAAGGGTAGGGGTGCCTGGGTATCCCAGAGACCCAGTGGGCAGTAGTGGGCCCTGGGGGTGCATAACAGGCACCAGAGGCCGGTGCTGATGCAGCTTCCCCGAGCCCATATGTGTCTGCAGGTGGGGCTGGGCCTGGGCCTGACCAGGTCTGGCAGCTCTCAGCCCCGTCCCTGGTGTTGGAAGTGGCCTCCCATCTCTGCCCTGTTAGTTGCCCTGGGAATGGTGGGGAGTCCTGCCCTTCCTTGGTTCTGTGATCTCTGGAACGGGATCCCCTGCAGTCTCAGCTTCCCCTCTGTGAAATGAGCCAGATGTCCAGGCTCTGGGTTGGTGGGGGTGCTGGTGGTATAGGGCTAGTGGGGGCCCAGCTGTTGACTGCAGGTCCCCCAGGGTAGGGATGCCCCAGGGTCCTGTTGGTTCTGTTATCAATGGCTATGAGGCTGAAGCTGTTGGGGGAAGTCCTGTGACCCCTGAGCCAGGTCCTCTGCTGTGACCTCCCTCTTGGCCCCCATGTGGGGTGCTGCCCTGTGGCTCTGGTGTGAGGCCCCTCCCGTCCTCCCAGTCTGCACTCCCTCTCCTCATACTGGGAGGCACACAGGGCTCTCGAGCACATGGGTGGGTGTTGGGATTGGTTTTGCCAGGCAGAGGGCCGTGCTTGTGTGGAAGCCCAGTGCAGCAGCTTGGAGACATTTCATGGGGCACTCCAGAGCCTGTTACCCAGCCAGTGACCAGGGTCTTCCAGCCGTACCCTGTTCCTGCTGCCTGGCACTCATTCTCTTGTGACCCAGGGGCATCATTTGGGTTGGAGCCTTGCTGGGGAAGCAGCAGGACACAGCTATTCACCTGGGTGCCAGTTGGCCTGTCTCCCTTGTCTCCTCACCCCAGTCCCACAGATGGAAACTAAGGCACGGAGCATGGAACTTCGGAATTGGGCTTGGGCCCATCTATGGAAAGAGGAATCTTCTGGGATAAGATTCTATCAACTCTTCCCCTTCTTCCTGTCCCCACTCCTTCTCCCCATTTCCGCCTCCCACCCCTAGTCCCAAAAGGGCCATTCTCAGGGCAGTAGGTAGGGGTGGAGCCTGTTCTTTGCTCCCGGGCCGGGTGCCTCAAGCCTGGCTGTGTGGGCAGCTGCTGGGAGGTGCAGCTGGGAAGGTGAAAGCTGCATCCTCATGGCCTGACACGGCTAGTTCCTTCCTGGTGACCCTGGACAGGCTGCCACCCTTCAGAGCCCTGAGTTCTCTTCAGAGCCTCTAGGTGCCCATACCTGCCTCCCAGTGCCCATCCTGGATACCGCCTCCTTCCACCCCCAAATAAGCCTGGGCTGGGTGCCGTGGGCTGCGTATGAGTGGATGGTACCCTTTGCAGGCATGTGGGGTCAGCTGCGCCAGGGCTTGCTGGCCTGGCAGAGTCTGCAGTCAGGGTCTTGGGTCTGAGTTTTGTTCATAGGCCCCCCAGGTGAGGCGCACCTCTGCTTTGTCCTCCCGGATGCAGACACAGTCATATCAGTGAAGAACCTGCCACCTGCACCCTTTCACCCAAATCTACCTGTTCTTAAACCATCTAGCAGCTGGGCACATCCTGAGCAGGGTTTTTGAACCCCAGTGTCACGTCAGCGTGGGTCCCAGCCCTCTCCCATCCACTGTCTGGCCCTGAGCAAGCTGTGCTCCTGTTGTCTGGGGTGTGTGGTGAGTGCTGACTGTGCACCAGCACCCCACAGAGGCCTCACAGCAGCCTGTCATCCTTTTGACAGGTGGGGAAACTGAGTGCTTGAGGCAGGTGCTCAGGGCTGCTGGCTCTTGCCTCCCTTTCTGCGGTTCCTTGAAGGAGACTGGGCAGAGTTCTCAAGAGCTAGGCCCCTTCCTCAGTGACCTTCTCTCTGAGGAGCCCCTCTTTTTTTTTTTTTTTTTTTTTTAGAGGTGGAGTTTCACTCATGTTACCCAGGCTGGAGTGCAATGGCGCGATCTCGGCTCACCGCAACCTCCGCCTCCCGGGTTCAGGCAATTCTCCTGCCTCAGCCTCCTGAGTAGCTGGGATTACAGGCACGCACCACCATGCCCAGCTAATTTTTTGTATTTTTAGTAGAGACGGGGTTTCACCATGTTGACCAGGATGGTCTCGATCTCTTGACCTCGTGATCCACCCGCCTCGGCCTCCCAAAGTGCTGGGATTACAGGCTTGAGCCACCGCGCCCGGCCGAGGAGCCCCTCTTTACCCACTCCCACCTGCACTACAGCCCAGGGCCCTGGCTGTTTGGTTGGCTCCTGCCCTCGGACCTGGCTGGGGCTCTACTGCTGTGGGTGTGTTTCGGGGTGGGTGCCTGTCTTATCCGCTCTGCTTCTCCTATTCCCTAGTCACTGTGGGGCCCTCAGGCCTGACTTCCCACTACAGGCCACATGGGTGAAGGGTGCCCTGGGTTTGGGGCAAGGGGCCAGGAGGAGATCTATCCTCATTTGTTCTGGGGCCTGGGTTCGTGTCCCGCAGGCTCCAGCGAGAGGCCTCTGGCCTTACCCCACTGTGAAGGATGCTTGCTCCCTGCCAGCTGAATACAGGCCTCTTGGCCGGGCCCTGGGGCAGCAGAACTTCACTTCTCATCTCTCCTTGTCATCCTGACCCAGCCTGGGTGTGGGGCTGGCTGTGGGTCCAGGGTCCAGAGCCAGGGTGAGGAGGGCTGTGCTGAGCCCCACCCCCTGGGCTGCCCCGCCTCCCTGTTGCTCTCAGGGTCTTGGGGAGGGGCTGGGCCTGGGACTCCCTCCTGCCTGTTCACACAGGGCTCCTCCTGCCCTGAGGCAGCTTGGCCTGGCTGTGCTCTTGGAGCTCAGGGACCTGCCTCCTGCCCTCTCCACTTGGCCTGCTGGAGCCAGGCCCTGGGGACCCCCCCAGCCCACGCCTGACGCAGGGGCCCGTCTGCCAGGCTGACCACTCCCAGTCTTTCCCAGGCCGGTCCTTTCTGGGCTTTAAAAAGTATCTGGGGAGCTCCGGGGACTTGGCTGGCCCCTTGCCAGCCCCTGCCAAACTGTTGTTGTGTAAAACTGTAGCCGATTAATTTAAGACCTGCCAACTTCAGCTGTGAGGCCGACTGGGGGTGCCCCCACCCCCTCTCCTTTCCCCAGAGCCCTGCCCACCACCTGCCCTGCCCCCACAGGGGCAGCCTCTCCCATTGGGGTACCTCTCTCACTGGGGTGCCTCTCCCACTGGAGTGCCTCTCGGTGAACTTCCTGGGCCCTGCTCTCAGCTCCTGTGCCCTCTGGGGACCCCAGCCATGTCAGGAGCTCCCAGGGGCAGCCCCTGGTTCAAGTCCTGTAACATCAGCCCAGATACCCCCATGGGAGGAGAGAATACAGGCCCTGGCCTCCTGCAGAGCAGGTGCTGTTCTCCCTTCAGAGTGAAGCTCAGGAGAGCCTGGCCCTATGGGCCCGCTGAGGGCACCCGAGGCCAGCCCTACTCTGGTCCTGCTGCCACTGTGGGGCAAAAGGAGCCGGCCTCTGTCTGAGGCACATCCTGCCCATGCTGGGAATGTAGGCCTGACTGCCTGGGCACCTGGTTTTTTCAAGAGATTCTGGAAATCTGTATTTTCTGTGAGACCTCTTGATTATTAAATGTTGGCAACTAATCCATGTTCTAAGAAAGTGTAACAGGGCCAACTCAAGCATCCCTTTGGGCCACCAGTTTGTGGCCCAGGGACGTGTCCTGTGGCCTTGAGCAGCTCAGAGAAGCCAGCCACCTGGGCTGTGGGGCGCACCCGGGTTAATCTGGAGCTTACCCTGGTGAAGCCCCATCCTCTGGGGCCTTGTTTTCCTTCCCCGATGTTGGCTGCATCTTGGCGTACCCCAGGGAGGCTTGGGGCTTGAAGTTCCTTCTGGATTTGGCCCCAATAAGCCGTCACAGCATCTCCCTTCAGAGGTCCTTGCACGGGGGCTGTAGCTGCAGCACCTTGTGTGCAGCCTGGCCTGGCTGGCCCCTGTCCCTTGCTCATGGGCCCCTCAGGACTCATGCTGCGGCACCTCCTGCACCTTGACTGGTCCACACCACTCCTTGGCACTCCTAGGAGTTCGCGGTGGCTGGACTTGCAGCTGCTGGGTCTCTGAAGTGCTTAGGAGGCCTGTGGCATTAGTTGCCATCCATGAGCCCCAGGAATGGTGACCTGCAGGGCCTGGAGCTGCAGCAAAGCCCCTGGAGCCCTAGGCAGTGCCGGAGGTGCCCTCTGCCCAGCAGTCTTCCCCCCTCTGCAGATAGCTCAGCACCT